TGTAGGGATACAGTGAAAATGAAAAGTTGCCCTACACAGTCCCACATGATGAGTCACAGAAGCTATTGAGGGACAAGGTGGATCAAGTCAGGTTGCAGAGCTAAAAGACATCCAGCTGGCTGAAAGAGAGAGATGGCCAACAGACTACCTCTACACTGACTCCTGGGTAATAGCAAGCACTTTGTGTGGATGGGTGGACCAATGGGAGAAGGCCAATTGTCAGCACAAAAGAAAACCCATCTCAGCTTCTGAATTGTGGCAAGAGATCGTTGCCTGGGTAGAGAAGTTGACTGTGCAAGTAAATCATGTAGATGCACACATATCTAAGAGTCGGGCTAAAAGGAGCATCACAACAACAGACAGATTGATCAAGCTGCCAAGAATAAAGTGTCTCAGGTAGATCTGGACTGGCAACATAAAGGTGAGTTATTTCTAGCTCAGCGGGCCTATGACACCTCAGGTTATCAGGGAAGAGATGTAATAAACAGATGAGCTTGTGACCAAGGGGTGGACTTAACCATGGACACCATCTCCCAAGTCATTCATAACTGTGAAATGTGCTGCAATCAAGCAGGCCAAGTGGGTAAAGCATCTGTGGCCTGGGGCATGATGGTCAAAATGTAAATATGGGGAGGCCTGTCAGATTAATTACATCACACTCCCGCAAACCTGCCAAGGCAAGTGTTACGTGCTTACAATGGTGGAAGCAATCTCCAGATGGCTGGAGACACACACTGTGCCTCACGCCACTGCCTGGAACACCATCTTGGGCCTTGAAAAACAAGTCCTGTGGATTCATGGAACCCCAGAAAGAACTGAGTAAAACAATTAGACTCATTTCAAAACCAACCTCATAGACACCTGTGCCAGAAAGCGTGGTATTGAGTAGGTGTATCATATTCATGCACCAGCCTCTAGGAAAGTTAAACAGCAGAATGGACTGCTAAAAACTACATTGAAAGCAATGGGTGGTGGGACCTTCAAACACTGGGATCTGCATTTAGCCAAGGCCAGCTGGTTAGTTAACACCTGAGGTTCTAACAATAAAGGTGTCCCTGCTCAGTCAGGAACCTTATGTACCAGTGTCATGGTTTGATGCTAGCACAATGCCAGTGCAATCATGAAAATATATTTTTCTCAAATGACTGCTGTGAGATGTGACCTGAGATGTGACCAGAAACAGGGCAGAGCAGGCTCATGCTTAAAAGTAAAGAAAATAACTTTATTAACCTACAACTATAATACAAGGAACACACAGAATTCAGAATGAAAACCTTTGAAAACATTCCTCCTCCCCCCACCCAATTTCTAACAAAACACAGTGAGACAAAACCCTGGATTCCCGATCAAGTTACTACCCCTTAGATATTAAATTCTCAGTCCATCAAGGGAGAGTCTCTCTTGTACCATAGACTCCCCCAGGAAACACAATTGCAACCTCTTGTGTTTCCATGTCACACACAGCACTGCCCAGAGAAAATCTGCCATTGTGACATCCTCCTTCTATGTACAGTGCTCTCACCACTGTGCATGGACCAAGACTGCTCATAGGGTTCTTTTAAGAATGCTTTGCCAAGGACTAAAGAACAACAGTTTCTCATTTTGGGACAACAGTCCTCCCATTTTCTCCTCCCCTGGGGACGAGGGTCTTGAGAACAGAAATCTTCTTCCCTGAAGACAGAGGGCACCACCACACGCTCCCTTCTCTTTCTCCTCTGCCCATGTACTGCCGCACATGATATCAAATTTCCAGGTAGAACAGGCTCTCTCTCTCTCTCTCTCTCTCTTTCCCTCTGGGGAGGCTGCCTGGGACATCTCAGTGTTTCTCAACCCTTCCGTCCTGCAGGGCCCGACCCGGTTCCATTCCCTTCACCCCCCTTCTCTTTCTAGGGCTCCAGCCTACCTCAGCCATAGGCTGCATGGCTTCCCCTCCCCCACCCAGCCTGTGGCTGGGCAGTGGAGAGTCTGCACTCTTCAATGACCAGAACAAAAGAGAAAGTTTCCCTGGGAGTTCTCTGCTTTTAACCCCCTGTGTTCTCAGAGGCGTGTCCAATGTCTTCAGTGGTCACACCAGGTGCAATATTCAAATCTGACCACTGATTAGTTTGACTATACCTTCCCAAGAAAACTTACTTCCTTATCAACCTATGACAACCACAGAGAAAAAGTCCCTGTGGTGCAAATGAGAAATAAGAAAGACAGTTTGGATTAACCTTGCCTCAGGCAAACTTATTGGTGGGATTGTTTTTGCTTAAGGATCTGGTTGCACTTGATGGGTAATGCAGAGGGATGGGGAAACAATATCCCTCAAGGGGATTTGATTTTTTGGTGAGAACCATCTGTAATGTTGAATTGTATATATAATATTGGTTGTTGAATGACACTCCCACTGTATATTGTAAATACCCTGGCCAATTAATTTGGACTACTCAAGTTATACTAGTCACAGACTAAAACTAACTCAATAAATATCTTGGGGGAACTGTCATTGAGCACCTAAGTTATAACTGTGTTTGTATATAGTTATTTGTATGTGTATGTGTATACATTTGAAAGCTATAAAATCTGGGCATGAGTTGCATGGTATAGAATAAGGGGTGACAATGTCTTGGGTACAGAGACAAGGGGGTGGAGCTTTCAGTGCTGTTTATTCAATACCATTTTACATCATAACCATGGGCACGTGTTGGGGTTTGACACTGGCTAGAAGCTAGAAGCCAGGCACCCACAAAAAACCATTCACTCATTCGTAGATTCCTTTGTTCTCAAGTTCTATAAATTGAAAAGTTTTTATAGAATTCTGCTGAAAGGTTGATCCCATCTGGGCTCTGCATTGGGGAGTTGCTAGCCATGCCCCCTGTCGCTGGCTGTGTAGTCCCCGCCAGAACCGAGCAGGTCATGCTGGCCACCATTTAGAGCTTCTCTTCATGCAGTGGATTGAAAAGGAGAAGCTATTGTTGCCGTCCCCGCTCTTTTGTCCACAGTACAGGTGGTTAAAAATAGCTAAGCAAGTAAAGTTCATTGCGAGCGATGCTGTGCCACCCTGACTGCACTGCCCCAGCTCTGCCACCGCTCCCAGCACAGAGATGGCTGCGGCCAGGTGCCTGGTTCTGGCCCCAGCTGCCCCAAGTGCCAGCCACAAGATTGGTCTCAGTACCAGGAGGGCACCTACCCATCCCTCCAAGGAAGAAAGAGATCTTCCCATGGTTTTTTTTTTCTTTCTTAAATATGCTATCACAGAGACATTCCCAACTTCTCTAATAGGGCCAGCCAATATGTCCATCATCAGTACCTTCAGGGATTGGCTCTGCTGGAGATAGTAGAAGTTTCTCTCTCAGAGGCAGCTTCTGTGGCTTCCTCTGCTCCCACTAAAAGCCAGGTTGTGTTAAACTAACACAGCGTGCTTTTGGCAGGGAAAATGCCATGACCACAAATGGAAAGGGGGGCATTTTTGTTTGGCTCACTCCAGCTAAAGGACCTGCAGACCCCAGCACCACATGCGGCGCCATTTTCCCCCATTTCCCATCCCTCCAGGATGTTTTTGCATAACAAGGGGCTGAGGAGAGACATCAGCACTACTCCCAGGGGATGGTGCTGAAGTGACAGCTCTGTGATGCAGCTGAGACCAGCGCAGCCAGGGCTGCACGGCTTTCAGTTCACCATAGGACCAGTTCTTCCCCCTCTTCAGGATAGCAAAGTGACCTGGAGCAAGGGAACTGATTTCAACTGAGTCCAGCCAAGCCAAAAGGGAGTCCAGCTGAGCTGAAAAGGAGCCCAGTGAGGTGGTAGGAAGAGGCAGCGAGGAGGATGAACCAACCCCCACACACACCCCAAGTGGAAGTGGCAGTGCAGGAACCTCGTGTCAAACTGAACTCAGCAGGGAGAGATACTTGCTGCTACCGCCACTGTCACTGCTGCAGTGACAGAGCAGGAAACCCTCCACTACAAATCTGGAGCTGCTCCAGGCAGCACCAGCACCTCCCATCCCCCATTGGAATTGCTTCATAAGTCCCTGCCATCTTTTCTTTGTTCCAGGGAGGCCACATGATATTGTTGCCTTTTTCTCAGCATGGACATGAAATTCGAGATATTTTTAGTAAGGAGGTGTTCTGGATTAGGGCAAATTTGGGAGAAAACCTCCAAAAAGGGCCCCCCCAGAAAGCCAACCCACACAGCCCCTCTCCCCAACCAGTTCAGGAAAATTTACTTGGAGAGAGGTGGAAAAAAACCCTGTTTATTTAAACAAGTAAAGCACTCCCCAGCACACAAAATGAACAATACCAGGTGACAAAACTCATTTGCCACTCTGAAGAGATGACAAATTCAGAAAGTCTCTCTGGGAGTGGTTGCTCTGTTATCAGTCCCTCCGGTGCTGGGAAAGGCTTCTGCCCAGATGTCCGAGTTTAGGGCAAATTTGGGGAAAACCCTCTGGAAGGAGCCCCCAGAAAACAAACCCCCACGGCCCCTCCCCACCCACCTGGTTCCGGAAAAAATTTTCTCTGAGAGAAGTGGAAAAGAACCTGTTTATTCAACGAACAAAGCACCCCCCAGCATCAAAAAGAAAATTAACAACACCAGATGACAACAAAACTCTTTCACCACTCTGAAGAGATGAACAAATCCAGAAAGTCTTTCCTGGGAGTGGTCGCCCGGGTCTGGATGCTGGGGATTGCTTTCCAGCACTGGGGATGGTTGCTGCAGATCACAAAACACTCGGTGCTCCTCGTTGTTTCCCAGGTCCCAGTCCGGAGCAGGTTGGATGGTATTCAGGAAAGGGAAAGGAAAAAAGCAACAGTCCAGGGAAAGAATTGGACTGCTTAGCTAAACTAACTAGGAATCAAAGGCAAAAGCAGAAGCAAGCAAAGCAAGCAAGCCAAGCAAGCAAGCAAAGCAAGCAAGACAGCCAGCATTAGCCTTTTCTAGACAGCAGACCATGGGGGGAGGTGAACGGGCTGATAACAAGGCAAAACAAACCTTCACTTTCAGAGTCAGTTCTGAAAGCACAGAACATAATATCAAACGTAAACAGAACACACGATTGGAGATACAAACACCATAACGTCACCCTAGGACACCAGAGCTGGCCCCGGTAGGACACAAAGTGTGAGCTCTTGGTGTTTCCCCAGGTCCCAGTCTGGAGCAGGTTCGAACAGAACCAAGAAAAGGGAAAGAAAACCAGTCCAGGGAAAACTTGGACTGCCTCAGCTAGCTATACTAACTAAAAAGCAAAGGAGCCCCGTGTTCTGCCCCGTCCATGCCCAGACAACACAGTGGAGTTCTGTGTTCCAGCAGACTGTGCAGGAGTGAATGCAGGCTGATAACAAAACTCCGTGCTTCTTCTTCTCCCCGCTTTCAGTCTCTGAGCCAATCTTGAAGGCACAGAATATAATATCCAGCATAAACAGAGCACCCGATGAGGATACAAGCATCATAACATCACCCTAGGACAGGAGGTAATATAAGAACATATCTTTATTTGAAGGCCTTCAGGGGCACTTATGGAAAGATGTCCACAAAAGCCCACCTGCTCAGGGGTGAGTACATTTTTATAGGTTTTAGGAAATTAGCATAATTGATAAAAAGCAACAATTAGGAGGACAAGTGGTGATGCAATTCCCCCCCAGGTCAAGCCCCTTCTCTGGATTCCCCCCTTGGCACTAGCTGTACTTTGTCCATGAAAATGTATCTTGAAGACTTGTTCTCAACCTTGGTTCCCAGGAAGAACCAAGAAAGCATTGGGGCCTTGTACCCCCCGGGGCTTGGAGCTCTGGAATTTGTTTTGTCTTCCTGCCTAGGGAAAGCCATAGAAAAGTACTGGGAAAACTAGCCACTAATATAATCGACTACAAAGTTACAAATATATGTGCAAAGAATACAGAAAACATATAAAAGAAGAAACAGCAATCCCCAAAACACCATCAACACCTTGCTTTTTTTGGTTAAACCACTCCCTCTTTTGTACAATGTTCTTTTTTATTGTTGTGTTTATTGATATTTTATTTAGTAAAATTGTGGATCTAACCTTTTTTAACCTCTTGTAGTTCCATTTTTTGGGTTTTTTTTCCTTCCCTCCATTGTCATGAGGGAGGGAAGGGGGAAGGGGCTCATTCAGTCTTAAACTTTTCATCACTGTAAAACCATTACATCCTCTCATCTTTGAAGAGATGCCTACTCAAGCTAGATATACATAATATATTCACCTTCTCTCAAATTTCCTGCTTGACTACTGATTCTTCCCTTGTGTAATACAGATGAGTGAGTGGTTCCCAAGGAGTAGTTAGTGTCATCTGCTTCAAGGCTGCCCAGCATCCCCCAGGTTACTGCTAAAGAGACAGAAGTAATTGTCTTTTTTTGTTCCCTAAAACAGCATTTTTAAAAATAGAAGTTATCTTTTTCTATTTAAATCTTATTTTTAATTGATTTTTTAAATAATGTATTTATTGTAAAATAAATATTTTTGTCTAGTTTGTGTTTTCTATGCAAATATTATTTACTATGTCCCAACATAGCTTCATTAATTGGGGTTAAGAACCTTCTTAGTATTTAGAGAGGACAGACTGAGGAACTGGATATCATTGAGGAACTAGCTGTAATTAAAAAAAAACACTGCTGTATATGGGACTTGAGAAAAACAGAGGGGTTTTTTTAGTCTTTGCAATAATTTTAGAGAAGATGTGTGAAGCAGCATGGCCAGAAACTGATGGGTTTATTGTTTTTTATTTCATTGACTAGCTTCCCCTAAAAAAAAAAAAAAAGAAAATTTTCCTCAATGTGTGATATTTATGCCCAGACTATAGGCTTTATTTGTCACAGCATCATTGAGTTTGATTTATTTGCATTAGATGGTCTTGTTCCTTTATTTCAAAGGGATTTAGGCACAGTCTAACTCAGCATTGTTGTAAAATAACAGCTGGAAATCCTAATTACATTGAATGTTCTTGATGCAACAATCGGACTTGGTTCACATTTTTGTGATAACACCATCACTGGAGCTATTGAGACTGGATAAATCCAGTGGTCATCCTGTATTGGGTGATGAACAGAAAGTTGGAAAACTTAATCTAAAAAGATTTTCCATTTGCAGTGTTTCAGTGGTTTTATTTGTTCACTTTGGAAATTCCTTTTTCAGCTGATTTCTGAGTTATGTAAGTTGTTAAACATTTGCTGTATTTGCATTTTCCCCATCTATAGGTCATTTGGATCCAGGCTTCCGTGCAGGTGACAAAATATCTTTAAGTAATGCCCAGATCAATGAAGAAATTAATATTGCCTCTTCTGATAGTGAAGTAGAGATTGTTGGAGTTCAGGAACATGCCAGGTATTAATTACTTTTTCTTTTTCTAATATTTATTTAATTTTATCAGAATACCTGTATTGCCAAAATTAATAAAGAAAAAAAAATGCTGACTTTCACTGCTGTGGTTATCCATCCATGACTGATGCCCAAAAGGTAGCAAATGTTGCACTCATTTTGTCTATTCCACTGGTCACGGTGATATCAGAATGTATTTTTCTTTAGAACATTAGCAACTTGATAAGTATTCTTATTAAGCTTGTGATTTTATATCAAACATTAACAGGCTAAAGATATGTACTCTTAAAGTACCAAATATTGAGATACCAAATATATAGACATCAGGAATTCAGATTTTAAGGGCATAGTGTGACTATGCAAATAATGAAACTAAAATATTTTTATAGGTTCTTGTTTCCTTTCAAAATATTACCTTTAAGCATTTAATCAGCTTCCACTTTAATTAATCAGTAGCTGTAAAAATGCTATTAATTTTTCAATAGCTTATATCTTAAGATAACCCTTTAGATTAAAAATCCTATCTTCACGAATCTTGGTTTTATTTCAGGATACAAGAGAGTTCAAATCCCCAAAATAGAGGAGAGTAAGGAAACCAGAGGTTTCTCTCAAGCTCAGATAGAAAGCTGTTCAGCTGTGCTTCAGGGGTTATTCTTACTAGGCTTTTTTTTTTTATGTTACTCTTCATCTTTAGTCTATGATCTTTCCTTGGCTTAAGATATTACAAAGCAGTTGAACAAGACTGGCATTTGCATATAGTATGGAGTGTCAATTTGGTGGAATAAAGGCAAGTTAAAACAGTATATGGACAAGGTCCCTCTAAAACTAGTCTGCTGCCTGGTGGATATGGTGGATGCTTGGAGTCAGAAAAGGCATGTGAGGGACAAAGCAGAGCTGTTCCTTTTTGTCCCTTCACCACATCTTTTGTTGGTGAAAGAAGGAAGGTGTGTAGGACCCAGTTTCCCAGGCAGGAAACTGTACAGATAGTATGGACACAGTCCAGTGCTGTTGAATATGAAAAAAGGAAATTTCAAGGTCCCAAAGGAAGAGATTTAGTCTTTGCTTTTAGAATAATGGAAGTCCTTAAGTGTCTAACTCTTCTGGAAGATACTAATTCATTAGGAAGTAGTTCTCCTGACTGTTTATCCAGCAGACCCAGGGCTTGGAGTATCTTTGTGCCAATAATAAGCAGTGTGGACTTGTCCTCCAATACTAGTTTGTGTAAATCTGTCTAGCACTATGCATGCACAACCCTTCTGTTTGAGGTCCCCTATTCAAAAACTTTCTATGCCGCTTGCCTCAATAATATTTACTGTGTACAAGAATGGAAATGTGAAGGAAATGCAGAACTGCCATTTAAAATCAGTTTTAGTAGTTATGGACTGAAATAATTTCAACAAAGACAAATTTAAAGCACACGTTTGTGCTTTCCTTTGTTTATGTAACCATCTATCATCTCCCACAGACTAGTTTTTACTGTCTCTGTTGAATACTCACGTGTTTCAGTTGCTCAAATCCTATTTAGAATTGTATTGCTCTTGCAGGTCTAGGCTTGCAGTTATGAAATATTGGTGGGCTTCTTTCAGGGTTGTCTTTTGGAAAAGGTTTAGGTTTTTGATCAGTATTTTTACATGCTTAGCATGGTGTTTAGATTCTGTTATCTTGCTCATACTGTTTTTTATCATGCTCCATATTCCATGTCATTATTGGACTGGTGCGAGTCATGACACCCTGGAGTTTGTCCATCATTTGTAGTTTTTCAGATTATTAACGTATTGGTGCTGTTTTTCATCATTAGAATATTCCTTGGCATCTACTTAAGACACCAAGACTATTTTTTTTAGTTTGTTTAATTTTTTCCAGTTATGCTTAAAAATGTTTCTTCTTATAAGAAAGAAATCAGATACATTTGTTAGAGTTCCAGTCTCTTATTGCTAATTCTTTGTAGATACGTACTTTAAGTATGTATTTTTAAGACTGAAGAAGTAATGAAAAAGTCATTCTAAATATCAAAACATCACATACAAAAATAAATAGTGTATGTAAGAAGGCAATGAGACATTTATATTCAGAGATGCTACAGCTCAAAGAATGAGATTTTTCATTCTATTTCATGAAACGCTAATGAGAACCAAGAGAGATGAGCATAACCTAAGTAGTTCTGGAGAAAATAAATTGCATGACCTCAAAATAAATTAAAAATAAATAAAACATAAATGTCAGGGATATTTAAGCAATGCATAAAATTTAGGTTCCTGAAATACAATACATGCACATTCACAAAGAAATGGGAAAAGCTTAACTTAACAGCCAAAAACACCTCCTACTTATATGTGCAGCCACCATTAGTGCTTATGACGCAAACCAATTTTTGGAGCACTAGGTATCAAGTTTTCCTAGTGTTTGTTTAAGACTTACAGGTTGAAATTATCATCTTAAATACTCCAGTAAATTCTTGTCATCACTTTATCATATAACAAAATTGGTCTTTCATTGTGTTTGGTTTTTTACTAATTATTATCAGCTTGCACTTCAATAATAACATATCTACTATGAATGTAATCTGTAAAAATACTGTACAAATAAATAGATATGTACCTCACTTCAGCAAGGCACTTGAGTGTGTGTTTAAATACATGATTTAGTCTCATTGACTATAATCGCTGAAAGATTCATTGTTTTGCTGAAGTTGGGCTGTACTATAATCAGTGAGCATTTCTCAGCATTATTGTAATTTTAGTTAAGAAGACCAAAAAAAAAATCAAATGTAATGGCTGTAATAATAGAATTGACAAGCTGTCTTTTTTAATTATTGTAATGAAAGTATCATTGCGTCCTTATTTTAACATGGATTTGATTTCATATAGAAAGACAACTTTTCTTTGTCTCATCCAACCTCACTTAAAATTTTTCTCTTTTTAAGTCCAGCAGGTAAAAGGGCTATGAGGAAATTATGCTTCTCAATAATGCATGGAATTACACATAATAGGACAGACTTCTTCAAGATCCTTGGGATCCATGCACATATTTTGTAAGGAATCTCACTTTATACCCACTGGCAGAATTCAGTTCTTAAAAATAATTTAATCACCACGACCACCAAGTTCAAATTTAGTCTCAGCTTTGTTTACTGGGTATTTAAGATGTGATGGACTCTACAAACGGAAAATCCACGAGGACATTTTAGAGAGGGGCATGTTAACAAGATGCCTAAGTGATAAAACACTGCAATTAAGAATCTTGCTCCTGAATTCAATAGTAGCTTTAATCCTTTGTGGTTTTTGCCTTGCTACAGGTATGTGCATCCCAGGGGAGGTGTGATTCAGAGTGTGTCTTCTTGGAAGCATGACTCAAGCTCACAATATATTAACAGTCACCAAACACAATTATGGACAGCAGTGACTCCCCAACAGAACTGGTCTTCACCCCCAGAAGTAGTAGACCTCACTTTGGATGAGGATACAAGACGCAAATATCTACTGTAATGCAGCATACCTTTGTTTCTGTCCCCACCTCTTCTCCCCTTTGTGGCACAGATGTTCATTGTTAAAGTTTCAACTTCAGAAGTTCCCTTCTTGGCTTTACGAAATTCAAACTCATTATCTTTTTCATTTCCATAAGAATGTAGTATGATTTCAATATAATTTAAAATAGTTTTACCTTCTCAAAGAAGGATTCCTCCCAGAATTAAAGCCTAACAGTACCAAATTTAAAACACATCTACAGTTTCTAACATGTGCATGTTAATCTGAAGAAATAACTGTGTGCAGACTTATGCCCATCCACCCTTTCTCACCTCCAATTTCAGAACATTTTTAATTTATCAGTATATTGAGTTTCTTAGTAGAAGTTAGTGTTTTGCTGTGTGTGAGCATCAGTGGTTTTGAAAAATGCTGTGTCCTCACTGATTTCAGTGGAACTGGGTGTATTCAGTACTTCTGAAAATTGGGCCAAGAGTATTTTTTACCCAAACTGATTTGGATATTTTACCAGCAGGAGGGACTGTCTTTAATGCAAATGGCCCATAACTTATGCACTGAACAGCTTTTATTTTAAGCATTTTTATTTTCAATATAATTTCTAGTTTGCACTCTTCAGTTCTGAGTATTTTATCTGACTACTGTGTTTCACTGATCATTTACCATGCCTTGTTATCGTTTAAAATAGTAATAGTAGTGACTTAGTAGCAGATGATTATGGCAAAAGCACAGGAAAATGAAAAGTAATAAAAAGGCCCAGCATCCCTCTCTTTTTTAAATAGAGCTGAATTTTTTTGCCTAAATCAGAGTCTTGCCTGGAGTAGGAGAGAAATGAAACATTTTGCTCACAGTCCTCATTTCTACTGTTGCTTATTTGCTTCATTCACCATCTCAAAAACAACCCAACCCCAAACAAATTCCAAAATCCCAGTCTGGCAAAGCACTTTAGCAGCTGTGTAACATTCAGCAGGGACAGTTTGGTGAACCTAGATGGACCATTCAAGTGCTTAAAACTCTGTCCTAAAAGGTGTTGTTGGATTAGAACTTAAGGTTGCGATTTTTTTAATTATTATAATTATTTTTTTAAATAGATCTGTACTATTTTCCTGGCTTTAGGTCATGTCTCTTATGCTAGTTTTGGAATTGCTTTTTCAGATATGATTCAGGAAACACTTTCTACCAGAATATTTACTGAAATCAGCGAAACTACTTACTTTAGCAGTCTGTAGTTTCTGTAGTGTATATGGAAATTCTTGCCATTCACCTGTCATTTTGAGCCTTTCTCAAAGCAAAAGCCAAAGATTAGACTTTACAAGATTATATTCACTTTAAATGTCTATTGTGCAATTAAAACATTTATTTGTATTCCTGTTGTTTCTAGTGGGAATTTTGTGCAGCTCTATCATCAAATTTTCTGCCATTTGAGGCTGAACAGGTGGTAATAAGGACATGGGAAGTTCTATTTTCTTTTTGTGTTGGCTGGTTTAAAAATGTTGTTTGGCTTCCAATAATTTTATCTGCAGGCAAAAAAAAAAAAAAAAAAAAAAAGCAGAACAGCTCAGACTGCACTTTAAAGAACAATTAGGTAAGGGATTGATATTCCAATTTCAAGCTTTCTAAAACATTGAATATAAGTATATTGCATGGCCAGAAAAATGTATGTGGTGCTTCTAGTGACCGATTTCTTTCTCTGGGGGAAGGAAAGAGGATGGGAGAGGAGTGTGGATGGAGCCCATTCACACTGCAGTAGGGAAAAGCCCCGTGCTATTTGGGCACTATATTCAGTAGTGTTCTTTTCTCTTTGCATTTTAATCACACAACTCAGCCAATATTTTAGCGGGCTAGCGCACATTTTTTCAGCAGTAACTTAAACAGTGGCATACTGTGGCTACTTTTTCCTGTTTCACAAAGTCTTTTGAACATCAGTTGTGAAGAAAGTTGCAGAAATCCATTTATAGTCATTCTATGAAAAATGCAAGCTAACACTTGTTTTTGAGTTTGATGTGACTTCCATGTATATATAAAAACAACTGTGTCCTAGCCAAGCTTACTCCAATTGTGCACTGTGTTTCTTTAAACAGTTCATGCATTGTAGTCTGATGCAAGTTTTCTTTTATTTAAAATGCTACATATTTTTTCTTATTCTTAACAAATTTGAAAGGTTGATGAGTAATCTGAAAACTGCAATCACTGGATAGCTCGGAAGTTGTTTGGTTTTAATTTTTTTTTTTTTCTTTAATAAGAGCAATAGGTGCCTGTATGATTTTGCTCTTCTCAGCAGGAAAGAGAAATGATAGCCATTGTATGGCTAAGAACCAATGCACTTGGGCCTGAACCAGAACCCATTGGAGTTGATGCGGGACTTTCCATGAAATTTAGTATGCATTGGCTCAAGCCCTTCAGGCTTTAAGCAGTTCCTGAATTGCTGGAGTGGGAATTTGGAATCTTCTATAGTGAAAACAAATCATTTCTTAGAATGTAAATGTTTAAAACATGCAAGTCTAGTTAAAAATTCTAGATTGTTCTCAATAGTCATTATTTAGTTGTCATTTTCCATCTAGTATTTAATGGTCTTTGAAGAAAAGAAAATAAAACAGAGCGGTTCATATATATATATATATTTTTTTTTTCCTGTGTGTGCAAGATAAGACCTGTTTTTTGAAACAAGTCTGTAGCATAAAGGTTAAACTATTTTAAAACAAAATAAAATGGTGTATTATTTAAATAGTAAAAATTTGTTTGGGATTTCTTTCCACTTTCATCAATCTGCTTTGTCACATCTCCAAACTAAAGCCCTAAGGTTTGGGTTACAACTGTCCAAATTCTGCACTTTTCCCCACTGTAATGTGTTTAATTTTGTACATTTAGAATGTAAAAGTGATTTCCTGACTGAAAAAGCTTGCTTTTATCTATTTAGACCAGGGCAGGACCATCACTTCTCCCTGTAACACTGGTGGGGGATGCCAGGGGATGTGCAGGTACCAGTAACAAGCTGCTGCTGTCCATCATAGAACCATACAATGGTTTGGGTTGAAAGGGGCCTTAAAGACAGTTGGCAGGGACACCTTCCACTAGATTGGGTGTCTTCAAGCCCCATCCAATCTGGCCTTGAACACTGCCAGGGATTAAGCAGCCACAGCTTCTCTGGGCAACCTGTGCCTTTGCCTCACCACCCTCACAGCCAAGAATTTCTGTCTAATATCTAATATAAACCTGCACTCTGTCAGTTTGAAGCCATTCCCCCTTGTCCTATCCCTCCATGCTCTTGTCCAAAGTCTCTCTCCAGCACTCTTGTAGTCCCTTTAGGTACTGGAAAGTGCTCTAAGGTCTTCCCAGAGCCGCCTTCTCCAGGCTGAACAACCGCAACTCTCTCAGCCTGTCTTCATAGCAGAGGTGCTCCAGGCTCTGAGAATCTTGGTGACCTCCTCTGGACTTGCACCAACAGGTCCACATCCTCCTTATGTTGGGAGCCCATTGTGCTCTGCAGAATCCCTTCTAGGCATGTGGTTTCTGCACAGCCTCCATGTCCCCACACATGGCAGTCCTTAAGGTATCTGAGCAACCTTCACACCAGTATTTCTCTGGCTGTATCCCCTTGTCCCATTCTCCCAGCTTTCAATGAGCTCCCAGCTGGTCAAGGAGACCAATGTCACACTCAGATTTTCTCACAGAGAGATAGTGCTGACAAGCTTAGACCTACTGCCATTTGAAATGGATGTGTAGACTAGCTATGAAGCTCTGGGCAGGTCCTTGCAGACCACAAGAGGTGGTGCCAGGCTGAACTGCATTTGGTAACCACTGAATTATACCAGGGAATTTGCAGCCACAAGTAAATAGAAGGATGGTAAGTATAACTGCTGTGCTAAACTTGGGGTCCCACTGCCCACAGTCCCACAGTCTTCTTACAGGAAATGGAAATAGCAATAAAAATAATAATAATGATGATGATGATGATGATAATAATAATAATAATAATAATAATAGTAACAACTCATTACATTTCCAGCTAAATAGGGAGTTTGCTTCAGTTCCGATCTCTTTATCCTGTGAGAAGGCTCTCAGTGGTTAGACAAGAGTCATTTATCCATGTATTTTAAATATCAAGATGGGTAATGAGAGTGAATTGAGTTGGTTTTCAGCCCCATTGAGTTCTTGCCTTTTGTGAAGCTTGAAAATACAAATTCTGGATCTGATGGTGGTTGTGGAGGTGGACACCAGACTCGGATTTTATTTCATGTATATCACCAGCTGAGGGAAAACATTGCTGTGGAGGTTGGTGCAGATGTGGGAAGAGGACAGCTGACACATCTCCTGAATTTTTTTTCCACCAGCAAGACATACTCATTGTCTTTAGACTTAAGGATACATTGAATGGAAAGCTTAAAATTTCTTGTGCGGTACTTGACACCTTGTGGCTCAGGCTGATAGTAAAAGGGTTTTTAAATCATGGGGATTTAGGGTTAACAGGAAAATAAGCTTAGTAGGCCCTGGAAAAATAAATACCTTAAGCACATGAAGAACCAGTACTTGCTAGAATTGCACTATGTAGCTAGTACATGATAATTTATATAATTGTTAGATATGACGACTGTTTAGCAATTAAATATAATTACTGTTTTTAATGAGAAAGAATAATCATGAGAAACTGTGGTCATGAACCTAAGAAAGATCACAATAAACTCATGTCAATGTACACAATAGAACAATGTAAGTTTAATAATTAATGTGTAAGTTATATAACGATAGAATATAAAATACGTTCACCTCGAAAGCCATGTCGGAGTCAGATTTGGGTTTGTACCCCGACTCCCAGACCTCTTAATAAAAGCACCTGCATATAATCATATCCCATGATTATGTGTGTTTCTGAATGCTAACATTTTGGCGAACCCAAATTGGGACCCTGTGAGCGCTGCTGAGGACCCCGCGACCCGATCATGCTCCAGCCGGCACCGAGGGATTCTCGGGGAGCTCATCGGCGCCGCGAACCTCCGCCGCTCACAACGTCCCCTGGAGAGAGGTAAGGTGCTTTTAATTTGGTCTGGTACCTGCCGATAAGACGCAGCGAAAGCTACGCTCGGTTGGGTTAAAGGAATTCCTGTGGTATTGCCTAGGCGCTGTCCGTTAGACATCGCTAAAGCGTTGCAGGTTCGGCATTCTGTGGTGTCTTGTAGCTGTAATATGGAGAAGCTTAAAGGTCTCTTATGCGGCAATGCCCCCATACCACATTATTCTCCTTTGGGGGGCTTATTAGCACATTGGAAACAAGGTAATTTTGGGCAAGACCCACATAGGGGTAAGTTAATTGATTACTGTAATACATGGTGGCCAGAATATGTTTTGGAAGGTGGTGAAAAATGGCCACCAAATGGAACATTGCAACATTACACTATTTTGCAATTGATGTTGTTTTGTAAACGCAAAAGAAAATGGGATGAGGTTCCGTATATTGATTTGTTTTTCTACTTGCGAGATAAGCCAGAATGGCAGGTTGAATGTGGATTGATGGTATTTAAGGCATCTACAAGTGATAAGTGTGAGGTTTGTGTGAAGAAGAAACGTTGTTTAGAACATTTTGCATTGAAAGAAAGTCTGAGTCGGAGGAACGATACATATGTTGATTTACAGGTAGCCCCCGCAAGACCAAGAGAACCTAACTCTATCCTGCCTGCCCCTACCCCTACTTCATCACCTGCTTCACCCAATCCTATTTTGTCTAGTCCTATTTCACCCACTCAAACCCTCTCTCCCTATCCTCCTCTTCCACCATCACCTGACCCCTCTTCCCCTGGAGATGATCTAAATTTAACTGTGATGCATAGAAGGGGGGAAGATGAAAGTGAATCTGCAATAGTGGTATCTCATAGGACTCGGAATCGGTCAAAGCCCGCCCCGGTCTTGGCCAGAAAAGATCTGGGTAAACAGAAGCGGAAGAAAAAAAAAAAAAACCAACCACAAAGGTGGCCGTGGACTGGAGAGGGGAGGTGGACTTGGCAGGGGACACGGGGGAACTGCTCTGCCAAAATTAGGATTTAACCAGTGCGCTTTTTGCCTGCAAGAAGGTCACTGGAAGAACGAGTGTCCAAACCGGTTTTACCAAGGCAGCCAGCCAAGCCAAGGTCAAGATATTGCAAAATTAATGGTGGTGGGACAATACAGCAGCTGTCTAGAAAATAGCAAGGAACCTTTCGTGACCATAAAGCTAGGTGATAGAGCAATAAAATTCCTGGTGGATACGGGGGCCACGTATTCTGTACTGAATGATTTACAAGGACAAATTGGGGACAAACAAACAACAATAGTTGGGGCAACAGGGAAGGAGGAAAATCGGCCATTCCTACAACCCTTAGATCTGTGTTTTGGAAATAAGGTCCTGACGCAGGAATTCCTGTATGTGCCTGAGTGTCCAATTCCCCTTTAAGGTAGAGACTTATTGGCAAATTTTGATGCAGTGATAACCTTTGAGAATGGGGAACTTTTAATGAAAATACCTGAATCAAAGACAGGAAAAATTTTAATGATTAAGGAAAAACCAGCTCCCTCTATTCCTAGGGAAGTAGAAGATGCAGTAATTCCTTCAGTATGGGAAACAGATATACCTGGGAAATCTAAATTAGCACAACCAATACATGTTGAATTAAAGGTAGGGGCAAAAGCAGTACAGGTTAAACAGTATCCTATAAAATCAGAAGCACGGCAGGGAATAGTAAAAATTATTGATAAATTCTTGAAATACAAAATTTTAGAAGAATTTGAATCAGAATATAATACACCTATCTTTCTAGTGAGGAAACCCAATGGTGAGTATAGACTAGTGCAGGATTTGAGAGCAATAAATGAAACAACTAAAGACATTTATCCAGGGGTTGCAAATCCTTACACATTGTTAACATCCGTGAAAGAGACATATATACGGTTTACAGTAATTGATCTAAAAGATGCCTTTTTCTGCATACCCCTTGACAAAGAAAGTAGGAATCTGTTTGCCTTTGAGTGGGAAAATCCAGGAAATTGAAGAAAGACCCAGCTCACCTGGACACGGCTCCCACAAGGATTCAAGAACAGTCCCACCCTATTCGGAAACCAACTGGCAAAGGAGCTGGAGACCTGGACTGCAAGTGGGCAAGTACCAAGAGAACAATACCTGCTGCTACAGTATGTTGACAATATACTGATAGCCACAGAGGAGGAAGCAACCTGCATAAAGGTAACAATTGAGATTTTAAATTCACTGGGAACGGCTGGATATAAGGTATCTAAAAAAAAAGCACAAATTGCCCAACAGACTGTGATTTACCTGGGATGTGAAATCTTACAAGGGCAGCGAAAACTGGGTACTAACCGTATTCAAGCTATTTGTGCCATTCCAGAGCCCCAGAATCTACACGAGCTGCGAGTCTTCCTTGGGATTATAGGGTCATGCCGCCTGTAGATCATGGACTATGGACTAATTGCAAAACCCCTGTATGAGGCCCAGAAGATGCAGATATTTACCTGGGGCAAACCACAGAAGGAGGCTTTCCTCAAACTAAAGGAGGCCTTGACAACTGCTCCTGCATTGGGGTTACCTGATTTGTCCAAAGATTTTCAGCTGTTTGTACATGAAAGGATGCGTCTGGCATTGGGAGTCTTAACCCAACGTTTGGGAAGCTGGAAAAGGCCAGTGGGCTACTTTTCCAAACAACTTGACAATGTCAGTGCCGGATGGCGTTCATGTCTGCAGGCAGTCGCAGC